AAATAAAAAATACTACATTTTATTTTTAAATCGCTATTTGTTTTGCACTAATTTACTTTTTGAAGTAATCTGTGATTTAAAGTTAGGAATATAAAGTGTCGCGTATTCTTTCATTTTCTTAAACCGTTATTCTTAAAAGTTTATTTTCTTTGTTACGTATAATGGGTATTCTGTGTTACTTATATTTAAATATCTAAGTCGTGTAACAAAATGAGAAAAACGGTGAATGCTTAATTGTGATAACTCAAATGTGTTGATTTTCTTCAAATATTCATAATATTTAATATAATATTTAATATTTTTATTTAATAATATTTAGAAAATTTTTGGGTATGCAGTTTTATAGCCCATAAAATTTAAGTCCAACGAAGTGCAAGTTTCAAACGGCTAAAAAATCGCGTTGATTTTGGAGAATTTTTTTTAGGCTACTTTTTTGGGGTATTTTAGTATAAGCGCAATTCACAAAAACTTGCGTTGATATTTTGAAATTTTGTTGCTGACGGTCTCCCGCGGTTTAATTCATAAGAAATTCATACTTATACTAGCAGACCCGGCGAACTTCGTCTCGCCCAAAATTAATTTTTTGTATTGATACATTTTGGTCTACCATTTTCACCAACAGTTCACGTTCATGATTTTCAGTGACGCATTTATCTTCTAATATTACGATTTGGTGGTGTCAGAAGGCATATTTCCATTGCCATCTTAAATAACCTCGCAAAAGTGTATATGTATGCATCACGGTTGCCAACCGTCCCGATTTCGGCGGGACTGTCCCGGATTTAAGAGATATGTCCCGGTCCCAGTATGACACATGTTGGGAAACAAAATGTCCCGGTTTTTCTCAAGAAAAAAATTTAGACATCTCGTTGTAAAAAAATATAGAACTCTTGAAATATGTACATTTGTTTTTCAAATTCTATTTACTGATTGTCACTACATATATGCCGTATTTTATTTTCTACTGCGATTTACTGCAGACTGTTTCATTCATAACTAAATACAATAAACAAACTGCGCAATGCGGTAATGTCGTGCATACAGCTGTTTGGTAACAATTTGGCAACGCCGTTGAATCAGCTGATAATTTGAAAACTTTAAATGTGTAAATTCTTGAGTCTAGATGTAAAAAATATGTGTAATTTTGTCCCGGTTAAAATTAGTGAATTACACGAAAAAGTCAAACACGCGATTGCTATTTTATTGACGAATGGATTTTAAACAAAGTGTTCTAGCCGTGGCTACTTGAAGAATACGGCATTTTTTACCAACTTCAAACTACAGTGACAACTTGTATGTAATTTCCTGAGTTTTGCACATAGTCTAGAATCTTTTTTAAGTTTTTTTTTGTTGTAGGATGAACTATATTTTTATAGAAAATGCGTGGAAAAATTTAAGTAAAAAATGTTCCATACAATGTGCCTTATCTCGGAAAACTTTTCAATAACGCCGTATCGCAGAATTTGGTTCAAAAATGCCCTATCGTAGCTGCCGATTCAAAAACGCCCTTTCTCAGCACATTTTCAATTTATTTTCAGCTGAGATAGGGCGTTTTTGAAACGAATTCTGAGATAGTGCGTTCTTCAACAAAATTCTGAGATAGGGTGTTTTTCAATAAAATTCTGAAATGGGGCGTTTTTCAATCAAATTCTGAAGTAGGGCGTTCTTGAACAGTTTTCTGAGATAGGGCGTTTTTGAACTGGCTGCCGAGATGGTTCGAACTTCGACTCAGGTGACGCTATATAGAAATTAATTATTTGGTGTAATTTGTATTACAATTTTAATTTATTTTTTAAGTTATTTAAAAGTATTGTCATTAAATTATCGTTTTATGAAAATTGGTATGCGTCCATGAAATTTTATGTTGTTTTGTTGTTCTGTGTTGTTCCAAATAAACCAATGAAATTCATGTCGTTTAATATGTTATTTTGCCTACCCTCTTTCCTAACGTTGTGTGTCCCGGTTTCAAGAATGCAAAAGTTGGCAATCGTAGTATGCATACAAAGATACGTAATAGCTTCAGTATATTTGAAAGGCGCCACGCCCCCTTATAAAATAGCCAAAATTTTCTCTAAGAGTATGGGATTGATTTAATATGTCTCCATACCATGTTCGAGTACTCTACCATGAACACTTCCAGAGATATGCAGTATGAAAAATCCGGTTTGTATGAGTGGTGCACGCCCCCTTTTCAAATAGCCCCAATTTTCTCCATGAGTATGGGCTTGATTTCATATACATACATATCTCCATACGAAGTTCCAGTACTGTACCATGAATACTTTCAGAGATATGCAGTATAAAAATTCGGTTTGTATGGGAGGTGCCTCGCCCCCTTTTCCAATAGCTCCAATTTTTCTCCAAGAGTATGCGGCTGATAGCGTCTATCTCCGTACCAAGTTCCAGAACTATACCATGAACACTTCCAGAGATATGCAGTAAAAATTCGGTTTATATGGGAGGTGCCACACCCCCTGCACATAGCGGTATGAAATATACTTTACATCCGATTCTCATACCTACCATATATGCACAAAAAATTTCATAAAGTTCGGTCAAGCCGTTTAGGAGGAGTTCGACCACTAACACCGTGACACGAGATTTTTATATAGTAGATAACAAAAAAATTATCTTGAAAAACATTACGAATATTTGAAGAAAATCAAAACGTGGTCATTTTTTTGAGTCACTGTATGTAGATATAGTAAAATTACATATATATTCTTAGATGAAAAAGCAAAGGATATAGATAATTAGGAGAAGTCAGGAGACAGAATGATCAATTATATGAGTGTTTCGTTAGACTTAAAATTTATAAAGATCGCATTTAAAAGGCACGGTGTTTGTAACTAGTCTCAAAGCCGATGGAAGGCTATTCGAAAGACGGATAGTGTCTGTGTTGCAGGTACTGGGGCTCATTGTTAACTAGAATTTTGTGCAGCATTGCGAGAGATTTTACTTTTAACAGACTATTAAGTGAAATAGAAAACATTTTTGTGGCATAGTGCGAGATATGGTCACGCTGTCCGATACCATATACATACCGAGCTATATTGTTGCACAAAACATTGAGTGCTTTATTGCATATACTGTCACAATTGGCAAACAATTCAGAACCGTATAAGAGTGTGGGTATCAGGTATGTTTTAACAAGAAGTAGGCGAACTCCCACTGGGGTAAAATATTGAGAGGTCCACAATGACCGTAGCATGCCATAAACTTTACCTATAATGCCATGGATGTGTTTGATCCAGGTAAGGGTCCTGTTGAACTCAATACCAAGGTTTTTGGCGGAGTCAACGCAGAGTATTGCAGTGTTGTTCAGCAGAACTTTCATGATAAAATCATTATTCAGATTTTTAACACATGCATTTATTGAATTAGGTGGACACCCGAAGTACAATTGCACGTCATCAGCATATATGTATGTATGTACATGAATACTATATTGCTCAAGTACTTTGGGCAAATCATTTACATATAAGACAAATAGCAAAAAGCCAAGAGCTGAGCCTTGCGGAACACCTTTGACTACAGGAAGTAATCGAGATAGAGAGTTACCCACACATACTGCTTGGGATCTTTCGGGGAGGAAAGAATGTACTAAGTTTAGTGCTGCGGTCGAAAAGTTGAACAGATTTCTAAGTTTTAAACACATTAAGCGATGGTCGACGGACACTCACATACGATAACGTGTCAGTTGACACGATCAAACTTATGAGAGCGCCATGTAAATGGAAACTAACCACCGTGTACGTGCGACGGTTACGCGTGCTTCTCTCTCTCCCTATCAACAGTAAATTTTATATGTTGCTACGTCAAACAGACACGACATACTTACACGTCGGTGAGTGTGGGCACCTTTACTTTTGCAGAAACGCGCTATGGCTCTGGAGAGCGAAGAGCGATCACTTGCACGGCCCAACTTGACAATAACGGGTGCTGGTTTATTGCTGGTTTTATTAAGGCGAAAGATTGTTCGCACAGGAGGGGTGTCAATTGTGACCGCACTACAAATCTGGCCGAACACTTCACTTAAATTCTCATCTTTGGTCTGTGGAATACCACTTAAAATGAGATCCGTTGATATGAGTGCATTCTCACGATCTTTGAGCTGCTCCCTTAACGACTGTATTTCAGTATCGCCGCATTGCTGCCTGTCTTTATCGAGCTCGTGCTAAATTTTCACAACACAGAGCTCAACTTCACGAACCTAGTGTTTTAAGTTGGCGAAGTCGGCGGTCAACTCACCGATTCTATGCATAACCCGCTCTTCCGTTTCTCTCATACGTGTGGTTAGCTGTTCAATGATACTCTCCTTTTGTGTATCCATCTTAGCTTCCAGTTGGTTGAGCCAGTTATTCGCTGGCGAACTGTTGGTTTCTGCAGGTTTGCTTAGCGGGTTCGATGTTTGAAGAGGTGCTGTTGATTGTTTAGCAGATTTTCAGGTTGTCGTCGCACCGGTGATAATATTTCACAATTCATCAATTCATGATAACGAATTAAACGCAAAAGGATTGTTTTTAAAGAAAACCCACTATGGATCACCGATTGGGCAATTTTTAGAACAATTTTTGAGCACGTTAGTCGGCGGAATCGTGGAAATTTTAAAGATTTAAAAGTTAAGGTTTAAAGATTTTATTTTTATGTTTATTGTTGCAGTATGAACTATATTTTCATGAAAAGTTAGCGGGAAAAAATTAAAATTAAAACTGTTGCATACATTGCGAAAAATTCTCTGTATTTAAACTTTTGTCTTTGACTGTATATACTTGCACTTTCTGTACTCAAATTTAATAATCTATTAGATTGCATACCAAACATTTTTAAAGAAATTCTAAATAAACTGTTTAGAATTGAGATGAAAAGTTTGTGGAGTTTTTATAATTTTTGTACAGTTTGAAATTAGGATTTATGTATATTATTTTGTTACATAAAAAACTATACTTTTATAAAAAATAACGAACATTATACAAAAAAAGAACAATAGTCACAACTGATCGAGTTCTACCGATAATATATAACAGATAAATATTTTTATATAACTGCACGGAAAGGTGATGGATGATGACGGGAAATACATATCTGGAAATAAAAATATGTGAATGAAGTCATAATATACCGGATTAGTAGTAGGTTAATTACCTACCTTTCATTATATACCCTCGGGATTTGGGTTTGTTGCTGTCGCTGCGCTACGACTATTAACGAATTAGCGAAGCAATTCATTTCGTTCTCTAACATTGAAATATATTAAGTTTTCGCTCCTCATTTGCCAATTGCCTTTTTCTTAAATAGTGTGCTGCAGGTGCTTTCGTCAAGGAGTATAGGCACATCACTGTTCTCCATCGATGACACGACTGGACCCAAATTGACTGTGCGGTTAGTGGAAAAAATATCTTCGAACAGGTCTTAGTATTCCCACTGAACGCGACCACGACCTGAATATACATAGGTACATATTTGAAAATTGGTCACCAACTAAGTAGGTATGAATGTGTATAGTGTACTATATATTAAAAAGAGAAAAAAAAATTGTTAAGTTAACAGCGGCTAAGTATGCACTCTGGTGGAAGAAGTAATAGAAACTTTTATTAACTGTTTTTGCTATATTTCTTTGATGTTTAATATTTTTTAAATCTCTGTGCAAATATTATAAAATTACAGTAAATTTTCACCGAAATCCCTAAAAGTTAAACTTTTTTCAGAATTTTAAGACAAATTTTAGGTATGCAGTTTTATTGCCCATTAAATTTTATTATTTTTTATATTTTTATTATGCTTCTATTAAAAGGGCATCATAAACAAAACCTGCGGCTAGTTAATCATTAAAATGTTGCTTGGGAACCCAATGAAAAATTAGTTTAAAGGAAAAATTACCTGCCTAAACTTAGGCTACTTTAATTGACGGACACAGATATGTACATACAATATGCATGCATATGTATATGTGCCATAATTTTGAAAGTAGCCTAATTCAAATCACACCTTTTGTGCTTAAATGACCGCTTACTTGTAACCGAAACGTTCTATCGACATAAACTAACGACAAAAACTTTTACCTTTGCTTAATGAATTCGAACGAATAACCGACGATTTCAGATGAAGGTAAATTATCATGTAAGCACAAAAGGTCGGTCTGATGTGACTTACACCACTTTCAAAATTATGGGCACATACGCATTCAATGTAACTACGATACTTTTTTCCACTCACCTNTGAATTCGAACGAATAACCGACGATTTCAGATGAAGGTAAATTATCATGTAAGCACAAAAGGTCGGTCTGATGTGACTTACACCACTTTCAAAATTATGGGCACATACGCATTCAATGTAACTACGATATTTTTTTCCACTCACCTGTTTTATAGGTCCTCTTCATGTTTCGCATTTTACGGTCCAGCGTGTCATCATCTTCAACGAGAAAGCCCGCCGTCCTCATGTCAGCGAGAATATCCATTAACAAATTCTTCTTTTTAAGNTACCGGCTAAATCTAGCCGGAAAACGGCTAAAATGGCAACGCTGGTTGTACCTAANAGTTTTGGATCACGAAACTTATCTTTCCTTTTTCTGTATTCCTATAAGAAAAATCTCGTAGCTGCTTCATGCCACTTGAATTTGGAGTTCCCTGGTGAACGTATAATTAAAAATCATATCAAATCATCGTATACTCCTTAAAAAAACTTTTATCTGAGGATAAAGTCGGATATATAAAAATAATAAACTGCAACTTAAGCAACCAATTTACCAGTTTTAAACTTTATGTGGACTTCCTGACTAGCGGTTATACGATAGATGTAGTCATCTAGAGCGTAATCTGCAGTAAATTCATTATTTGTAGAGATTTTATTTCTTTATTTTTCTTTTTGTATGTCTTTTTATCAAATGCTGGCACTAATACTGGTTGATCCATCGTTGTTTTCGTTTCGCAACTCTGCAATATTTAATAAGTTTTAGCTACATCCAAAGTTAGATAGTTTTCAAATCACAAATTTAATGAAAATGTAATTATTTGAAACAAAAAACCTTTTAATGGAAGAGCCAAATGTCAAACTGTCAAAGGCGCTCACAACATGTTGTTTGAAATGATCAGAAATAAAATACTAGAGAAATGTCGGCTTGTGTGTCGACCAAAATCGTGNCTATTTACTCGGGATCGAAACGCTAACACTTGACGCTCTTTCACTTGATTGTTTTGTTCGACTATCATTTCGTATTTCTTTATTAAGTCAATGACACAATACATATGTACGTTCTTACTGACTAGCCATTAATACATTTAGAAAATTGTATGAGTAAATATAAATTAAGTACTTAACATAAGTAAGAAGATAAAAATTTCTTAAAAGCAGAGCGACTAAATCAAAAATCTAAAGAATTAATATTATCCAAAGCATTAAACTCAATTAGTGATCTAGTGATTGGTCGATTCAGGGCATAGTTAGACTTATAGGCACTTGATGCCCACTCAAAAATTAAGAAATGCTGTAATTTTAAAAAAATTGGTAACTGTTGAACGTCCAAAGAGGGAAGTGACGTACTTTTTTTAAGACTGAATTGTACCGAAGCTTCTTACTTTGCGTCACTAAACTCTTCTTCTGGCTCAGGGTCAGCTAAGCCTGATTGGCAAATTAGCGATAAGCTATCTGGTAGAATTCTAAAGCGGAAATTCAATTTAGTAAAGCACTTTGCTAACTGTTCCTTGCAACGGGCTAGTTTACTCTGCACTTGCTTGAGATTAGAGGTATGGTAAAATATTATTGTAGGCTGTAATAAGCGAATATTTGTACTTGTTTAACTTTTTCGCATTCGTAGACAATGATCTATTTTGCAAAATTCGCTTAGTAATTTTATCAAAGTCAGCTTAACATGCTTTAAATTGTATATCAAATTCGCTCATAACCGGCTAATCTGAAAGAAGTGGAGGTTCAAAATTTGCAAAAGCAAGCTATCGTTCACCATGTTCAAATAAAAATATTAAAAACAAATCGAATTGTGAAAAATACTTGTGTTTTTCCAATAGGTCATCTGCTGAAAGTTAGCATGCAAAAGAGTATTTCCATGCAGTGGGATATCGGATAATGTCACATGCAAGGCAAAAGAGTTTAATTTGTTTTTGAAACGTTTTAATGTATGTTTTTAATCAGCCTCATTGCGTAGGTCGTAAATTAGGCTAAATTGTACGACTAGACAACAGTAGCATTGTCTATTGTCGTAATGAAATAAGTAAACGACCAAAATCGTCGAAAACTATACAGTGCTGCCAAGTTTTTCCGTTTTAATACACTAGTCGAGTGGAAATTTTAGGCAATGACGTGCAATTTTCGATACGATTCGACTCTCGAAAAACGACTGGCATTCGACACGACTCTCGCAATGAGGGTGAATAAGAATTTATGGAACATAAACGGTGTTTACTACACATGTGCATCGGTATATGGGTTTGTAATAATCTTTCAATAACTTCCAGGGAGTTATGTTTTGAAAAAAAAGTTATTTTAAGAAAGGAAATCGATGTAATCGATAAGCATCCGGAAACTATGCTAAGTCACTTAAAGCTAGTAATGTTATATTGTTGGAAAAAAAGAGATAAAGAACGTCACTTATACCTAAATAGGTGGATACATGGATTTAATTTCTTTCTTGAAAATTCGCTATTTTTTTTAATTTATGTTTGTTTCCTCATATTTGTTTAAGAAAAGTTGGTTGTAATTCCTCCGAGAAGATCAACCTTTGTCTCTAGATTTGCTAAAGACACTTCTTCGGATGATATAACGTCATACATATCAACTAAAATTAGAACTAAAGATGTATTTATTCGTAAATTTAATTTCAAATTCGATCACGATAATTCATCTTTTCAAATTGGTGTAGCTGCCGAAAATTTTGATTCACTACTAACTCATTTTGTTCGCGAGTTTGAGTATAAACCTTATAAAAGTAATAACAACGTAGCTAAAATTTCTAATCTTAATTCTAATCCAAAAAACTAACTCGCAAGTCTAATTTAAGTATTTACTTTTAATATTTTTATTGAGCTTTGTACCACGATTGTTTATTAGGAAAAATTGAAAAAGCAACAAAGTCTAAGCGGTAGAAGTTATAGCACTATTTCGGAGATCACCACATCTCCTCATCAGACTTCTTTTTTCTAGACTTCAGCAGGGTAAGTATTTACTATCAAAACGTTAGAGGTTGGATTACAAAATTAATTGACTTATATTTAAAAGGTTTTGACTGCAATTATAATATTATTTCCTTGACCTAAACCTGGCTCAAGCCTAATATTTTTTATTCCGAAATTCTTCCAAATGAATATCAAATTAACAGGAGCGACCGCGAGGGCAGAATCGGCGGTGGTGTTCTTTTGCGGTGCATTCATCGATACCATCCGAGGCAGTTAGTGTTTCTGTCTTTTAATATACCGAATTTAAATGCGTGCGTGTACAGGCTGGTAAGAGTTATGTTTATTTAACTCTTTCATACATCCCTCCTAATTCTGCCATATTAGTATAAACACAGCCGGTCTCTTTACTTGAGTCCGTAAATGCAATGCTTACGCCTTCCTACAATGTATTTCTGGAGGAAATGGCTGAACTTTGCCTTAAACAAATAAATATTTGTCCGAAAAAGTTGGGAAAGGTCTTGGATCTCGTTTACATTGATGATGTTCCGAAGGCCTCTAATTTTTCCAGAGGATGCATGCCATCCCGCTCTTGAGTTAAGCTACGAAATCATAAATGAAATACATATTAAGTCGTATAGTTCAAGTACTAGATGTGGGTTTTAATGCGTCGGTTGAAACAATTATAATACCCAATATTTCATACTAGACCGATAAAAATAGGTTTTATTTTAAAGTCAAAATCCTCAGTTACGGAAATTAAAAAATGCATAAAAGAAAGTGTTCCAGGAAATGTATGAAGACGAGTTTTCGATACCTTTACCAAAGAAGATTTAGATAATCGATTGTGTTGCCAACTGGTTGTTTTGGCAGACTCACCACAGTACTCCCTCTCCAATAACCAAGTCACGACTGGTCGAAAAGTACACGAGGTTATCTCCCGACTGTTTGCGCTGATTCTTCAGATTGGTGTCGAAAGTTCTGGTCGTGGTCGTTTCTAATCGCGAACGTTGGTTTAAGCCGATCCACTGATATGGCTACTTCCTTGTCGTTGATTTTTACCTTGCAGACCCTATCGCTTTCCCGTCGAACGATTTCAAATGGGTCGGTATATGGAGGCTCCAGAGCATCCGTACGGATGAAAACATGCGAACAGTGTTCGATACCTTTTAGTAAAAACATTTTCTCCTTGGTATGGTGATTCGTTGGAGTTGGTCGTATTTGTCGTATATGCCTACGAAGAAAATTTAGAAATGTCGTCGATCCCATGTCTGACTCGACGTCGTCAAAAAATTCGTTAGGTACCCGAAGTTGCGCTCCATATAACATTTCTGCTATTGACGCTCCCAAGGACTCCTTAAAACACCTACGCAACCCTAGTAATACGGTTGGTAGCAATTCAGGTCAAGGCAACTCGTTGTTGCACACGAGTCCGGCTTTAAATGTTTNTATTGACGCTCCCAAGGACTCCTTAAAACACCTACGCAACCCTAGTAATATGGTTGGTAGCAATTCAGGTCAAGGCAACTCGTTGTTGCACACGAGTCCGGCTTTAAATGTTTTGTGCCACCGTTCGATCAACCCATTTGACTGTGGGTGATAAGCAGTAGTATGAATGTGATTGCTTCCCATCAGTTTAGCGAGTTCCTTGAAAACCGCGGACTCCAACTGTGTCCCTTGGTCCGTAGTTATAGCTTTCGGTGTGCTACCCAGTGTGTCCAAAACGCAACGGTTTCCGCAGTAATGTTTGGTAATGGTATGGCTTCCGGCCAACGATAGAACCGATCGATCATCGTAAGACAGTACCGGAAATTGCGCTGTAACAGCATGGTCACAATGTCCAGATGAACATGGTCGAATCCGGCGTAAGTTGATTGTGTCTGCTGATTTTTTCACGTTGACACGGCAAACAACTTATACACCACTGGATTACATCCTTGTTCATTGACGGTCAGACATATGTTTGACGTATTTGATGCAACGTTGCTTTGCCGCTCGAATGAGAGAGGGCGTGGACCGAAGAAAAAACTTGGTGTCGCAAACTTTTGGGTACATAAGGACGCACGCAGCCGGTCGACGTATCGCAATGCAGTGACCCATTATCATCGTACCTTACCGTCCGTAGTTTTAAAGAAGTGCTTCCACCTAGTAACTCGGTTAGTTCAGGGTCAGTCACCTGAGCCTCTGCGATGTGAGCCAGACTTACTGCTGTGGGCATGTAGATAGCGTAAAGCCTCGACAGAGCATCTGCGACCACGTTTTCTTCGCTTTTGACATGGACAATGGTAGTGGAAAATTGCGAGATATACCCTAGATGCCGTTGCTGCCGAGGTGATGCCTTTTCCAATCG